GGGAAAAAGCATAGCCCTCTCACGTCTTCCGCCTTCTCCTTTTGTACTTATTTGTTGCGTCGGGATATTTTAAAGTAAACTCATTAACTAAATCTTGACTATTCTTGAGGTTGATTTCGGGTTCCCATGAATTTGTTTTCCTTGCCAAATCCTTTCCAACTCACAAAGTATTCCTTCTTGTTGTACCTTCTTCTACAATCTAGTATCTCGTTGACTTCCCATTCTTCTTCATCCTGTATTATGATTGGTTCGACTGGGGTTTGTTTTCGTTGATGTATTGTATCCGGGTTATGTTTCCTGAGTACAGAGACATGAAATACAGGATGGACGCTTTTCATGGAAAGAGGGAGATTCAATTTATAAGTAGAATTTGATATCTTTTGGATAATGAAGAAAGGACCTAGCCATCTATTTTCTAATTTTGGGCTTGGCCTAGTTGTCGAAATGTTTCGTCCGTTCAACCAGACTTGGTCTCCTACTTCCCATCTTGGTGTTTGTTGTACTCTTTTGTCAAATTGTTCTTTCATCTTCTCTTGAGTTAATTCTAAACATTGATTTAATTCGGATTGCACTTCGGCGAGTGTTTGCATCCTCTTCTCTACTGCTGGCACACACTGTTCAGCTGATGGTACTTTGTTGAATGATGGGTTAAATCCATAGTTAGCTTTAAACGGTGAAATGCCCGTGGATTCATGGTCTTTGTTGTTATACGAGAACTCAGCTGTGGGCAGTAGACTTTCCCAATCGTCTTGTCGATATTTAACAAAATGTCGTAAATATTGTTCGATTACTTTATTGACGATCTCGCTTTGACCGTCTGTACGTGGGTGGAAAGCGGTTGACGGGTGAAGGCGTATACCTAGGCGTTTGTCAATTTCTTCCGTGATCTGTGAAATGAAAATACTACCCCTATCTGAGATTATCGTCTTGGGAGTTCCATGAAGCTTCCATACGTTCTTCATCATGAGATCTGCTAGGTCTTCAGCCGACATTGATTCAGTACAAGCAATGAAATGACTCATTTTCGTTAATCTATCCACCACGGTTAATATGCTGTCGTAGCCGTTTGATGCAGGGAGGCCGGTGATAAGGTCATATGAGATATCCGTCCACGGGCCAGCCGGTATCGGTAATGGCTCCAGAGTCCCAAAGGGTTTCTGTGTGGTTGATTTAACCCTTAGACAAGAGTCACAACCGTCCACGTACCTGTTGACGTACGCTTTCTGAGATGGCCAGATGAAGCTTCTCCTGACCAATCCGAGAGTCTTTGCTCGACCTGGGTGGCCCGCAAGCAATGAGTCGTGTCTGCTTCTTAGTATTGAGTATTTGATGTCGTCGACGTCAGGTACCTCTATTCTACCTTGGTTGTAGAGGATACCATCTTGTACTTTGTAATGCTTCAAAGCTGCTTTCGTCTTGGCTGATATCGGGTTCAAGGTTGCGTTCATCAGTTCCCCTATCCTGTCACACTCTTTGCTTGCGTCTCTGATTCGTTGTATAATTTGATCATCCGTAGGAATGTCCGGTGCCTTAGTGTCAGTTTCAGCGATGCCCAATACATCCACCTCAAACCAGTGCTCAGAATTGTCGAGTGCAACCACTTCATCTTCGAAGAACCCCTCTACGCTAGCAAGCTCGATCGGGAACGTGTCTGGGCCGATGTTTTCGGGTCTTAACAACTGGCCAAAGGTCAATTTTTCCTCGTTAGTAGGCGCCAGGTCCGGTCTTCTAGATAAGGCATCTGGTTTGGTAGCTTTACTGCCGGGTCGGAATTTAATCACGAAATCGAAACAGCCCAGTGTCTCCGCCCATCGAGCCTGTCTGCGGGTAAGCTGCTTGGTTGTCATGAAAGACTCCAGGTTACGATGGTCCGTGTAGACTATCACATCTAGGCGGTTGGGGTTTCCCTCCAGGTAGTGGCGCCACTCTTTGAAAGACGCGACAATCGCCAGTAGTTCCTTATCAAAGATCTCGTAGTTCCTTTCAGCTTGGACTAGTGATCTGGACAGGTAAGCTACTGGGTGGAGTTCTCCATCGTCCTCGCTGCGTTGTGATAGCACTGCTCCTAATGCAAAATCGGAGCAGTCACATTCCAGAGTAAACGGCTTGTATGGATCGGC